TCGGATTCTGCAGGGACCTTCGGGACATCGAGAGGCCTGCGTCGCAAATGCTTTCCTGTACGCACCTGTAGACGCTTGAGATCTTTGTCGAGCAACCCCACGGATTCATCGACGACCCCACAGTATGGCAGCTGATAAAATCCCTTTACGGGATCAAGCAAGCCCGCGGCTCTGGCAGCAGCATCTTAACGGTCGCCTCGTAAAAATCGGATTCCTACAGCTGCCGCATGACCAAGGCATGTACCGACTGCCGAAAGGGAAGAGAGTATATCCTACTCATCGTTTACGTCGACGATCTGCTCTACATCGGTTCCACTACCGACATCGCCACCTGTTCGAAGGGGAGCTGAAGACAACTCGGCTTCTACCTACACGCTGGAAAATACGCAGGCCACTGTCGCGAAGAAATTCGGTTCTAACGCCGACTACGGTCCCGATCCCTACCGCTACGGGAACAACAGCAGCACCTCCGCAAAACTCCCCGCGAAGCAAATCCAGGAGAGTATCAGCAGAAGCTCGGCTGCCTACTATTCGCAGCAGTAACCTGCCGACCCGATCTATCTTATAGCGCGACCAACTGGCGACGCATCTGAAGCAGCCGGAACAAGAAAATCTCGAGGAACTTAATCGGGCACTACTACTTCGTCTCCACGCCGACGACCGGCTTACCTACAGTAAAGTAACGGCATCGTCCGTACAACTACTCGGATACGTCGACGCCGACCACGCGGGAGACAAGGAAATCGACATCGAGAACGGGCTACATCTACCGACTAGAACCTATCGGAAACTATCTCCTGGCAGTCGAGCAAGCAACTAATCGCACTATCTTCGGCTGAAGCAGAATATATCGCCCTCTGTACTGCGACCAAGGAAGGACTCTACCAACGAGAGTTGCTCGAGAAGCGAAGATTGCGACCTGCCAGTCTTCTCACTCCTCTGTGACAACCAATCTGCGATCAAAATCGCGAACAAGGACGGCTTCGCCAACCGAACCAAGCACATCGCCCTGCGGTACTTCTTCGTCAATGATGAAATCGCGAAGGGGGAGACTTCAACTCAGTTACTGCCCTTACGACAGAAATGGCCGCAGACTATCTGACGAAGAAATTGGCGAAGGCAAAATTCGATTACTGCACGCTGCTGACCGGGCGACAAACGTCACCGGATCTGAACACGTCAGCACTCCAGAAACGAAGGGGAGTGTTGGAAATACCTCAAAGGACTTGAGCGTTTCTGAAATGTAACACTACACTCGGAAGATCGCAACGGGTACGCGAGTCAACGGAGGTCACACGAGGGGATGGACAAAGAACGCAAAGGGACTCGAAGGGTCGCAACTGGAGGTTGCGACTGACCGTTACAACTGCACGAATGGTAACCAAAGCGACAATCGAGCGACTCGATAACCGCTCCTGCAACTGTATTCTACAACTGCTTTACTTTCCTATTTTCTATATATTGCTGTATGCTTGTTTCTTTAATCAATCACTTGTTCTCATATACTAGTACAAGGGTTCAACTGCCTCCAACTTCCGCTGCACTACTCAAGTCTCATTCTTCAACTGGGACTTAGTCTCTGGAAAGATCCTAAGGGCTTTTCTCAGCCCAACAGAATGCATACATCTGGGTCAGGCCTGTCGCTATCAGGGTATTTTACCCTGATTCCCTGATTTCACAGGGTATTTTTTTGGCCAACCTTAATTTTCAGGGTTGGGCTTTTTTTAACCCTAACGTCTTCAGGGTTGTATGTCTGTGAACACTTTGAATTTCAGGGTTTGCGTTATCCAACACTGAGTTTTCAGGGAGTAACGCGTACGAACCCTGAGTGCGACATCCATGTAGCTCACAATGCGGAAATTTAGTCGAAGTCCCCAATCTCCAGAGACATTCCCCCCCACACACAAAACCTACAAAAATTGGTGAAGTCCTCAAACATTCCCTCACACACCAAGCAACCCACAAAAATCGGCTAAGTCATGTGTCGTACAGACATCCCCCTACACACCTAAACAACAACCCACCAAAATTAACTAAGTCTTGATGGGCAGTGACAGCACCAAAAAAAAAACGGCTTAGTCCTATTGTACACAAGTTATTGTCAAACATGTGTATTTGTCATGTTTGTATAGACTGTATAGGGTAGCCTCTTAGAGGGTACAACACTTAGGTATATCTGTGTGTACCCTCTCTCTAACATTATTTCACTTATTCAGTTTTGATATGGTATCACACAGTTTGCTTAGTCGTAAGATTCGGATCTTTGATATGGACATGGATGCCATTGTTTCTGCTCTGCATGTGATGTATGCTGATGACTCTAGTGTGCTTCCCGCTTATTACTCACTGTTGCCTAGTGTAGGTGTGCCTAGTGTACCCTCCCCTGCTGCGTCAGGCGTAGGATCCTCTGCTTTGTGTAGTCTTGGTGCTTCCGCCGTCGTTCCGTCGCCAGACGCCTCTGCTTCGCTTTCCTTTACCTTGGACTCTGGCGCTTCTCGGTGTTTCTTCCGCGACTCCACCACCCTGACGCCGCTTCCCGTCCCTGCTGCCGTTTCTCTCGCTGACCCTCTGGCGGTCCGGTAGTCGCCCCGCAGTTCCACCACCCTTCCCTGTCCGGCGGTTCCTTCGGGCACTCTCACAGGTCTGCATATCCCCTCGTTCTCCAGGAACCTAGTTGGTGTCGGCTGCCTGCAGGACCTTGGCGTCACCACTACGTTCCCTGGTCACGAGCGGTATGCTGTCTGTACCGAGGCCGCACTGGTGCCCCACTGTCCACGTTCCCTCGGGACCCGGTGTCCGGCCTGTTCACTCTGCACACCGTGACCCCCCGGCTGGAGCGCTCACCCAGGGTTGCTGCCGCCTGCTCCTGTCGGTCCCTCACTCACCCGACCCTCCTTTGGCACCACCGCCTAGGTCACCCTGCGCTCCCGCGTCTGCGTCACATGACCCAGCACGGTCTTGTCCTTGGTCTCCCAGGTTCTCTCCCTGCGTTTCCCTCCTCCCAGCCCCACCTTGCACGCCTTGTGTCGAGGGTCGGCTTCGCCGTGCCCCTCACTCCTCCTCGTTTCCCCCTACCGCCGCGCCGTTGCAGACCCTGCACCTGGACGTATGGGGCCCCGCCCCTGTCCCTGGGCCGCGTCGAGAGCGCTACTTCCTTGTGCTTGTCGACGACTTCACTCGCTACACCACAGTCTTTCCCCTTGAGCGCAAGGCCGACGTGCCTGGCGCTCTCATCCCTTGGCTTGTCTCTGCGCGTGTCCACCGCGGTCTCCCTGTCTTGCGTCTTCACTCAGACCGTGGTGGCGAGTTTGCCTCAGGTGTCCTTGGTCGCTTTTGTCGTGCGGAGGGCATCACCCAGACGTTCACCCTACCGGACTCCCCACAGCAGAATGGGGTCGCTGAGCAACGCATCGGTTTGGTCATGGAGGTGGCTCGCACCTCCATGATCCATGCCGGTGCACCCCATTTTCTGTGGCCGTTCGCTGTGCGCTACGCTTCTCACCAGCTTAACCTGTGGCCGCACCCTCAGCAGCCGCAGGTTTCGCCGACCCGTCTTTGGACTGGGTCTCCTGGTGACGCGTCTGCGTTCCACGTCTGGGGCTGTCTTGCTCACGTCCGTGCCTCCGGCACGGACAAGCTCACTGCCCGCACCCTTCCCTGCGTCTTCCTCGGTTTTCCCCCTTGACGCGTCCGACTGGCACTTTTACCACCCGCCGTCTCACCGCTTCTTTCACTCTCGTGACGTCACCTTTGACGAGTCCGTCTCCTACTACCGTCGCTTCCCCCACCGTGGTCCCCCAGTTACTCCCCCTCTATTCCTGGTCCCTCCTTCCCCGGTAGTCCCTGCCCCTCCTCCTCCTCCTCCCCGTCCCGCCCCCTCTGGTGTGTCCCACGTCACCCCCTTCCGTCGGTGGACCCGGTGGAGGAGCCTTCTGACTCTGGTGGCCCTCCTGTTCAGTCCTCGCCGGCCGCCCCTCCCCTAGCGTCCCCTCCCCAGTCCCCCCCTCCACCGCCTCCGCCGCCGCTGCAGCCGTCGTTGTCGCTGCCGCCGCCGCCGCCGCCGCCGCCCGCGCCGCCGCCGCCGCCGCCGCCGTCGCAGCACCCGTTCGCTGACTCTGGGGGTGCTCGTCCCGGTAGCCCTGGGGGTGGTCCCTCTGGGGGTGCTGGTGTGGGAGAGTGTCGGGGTAGCCGAGGAGCAGCTAGCGGTCCCGGTGTTGCCGTTGTGCCGCCGCAGCAGCAGTCCCCGCCGGTGTCAGCCTTCGCCTGCTCGGCCTGCCGTCCCCCGACCCTGCGTCGGTTCCTCCCCGACCGTCTCCTCCTCTTCCTGCCTACGGCCCTGTTTTCCCTCCGCCGGACTCGTCCCCGCTCGTCTCCCCCCTCGTTCCCCTCCTGTGTCCCCTCCTCTGTCTCCTGACCCGACTCCTCCGTCGCACGTCTGGTCTCACCGTCCCTCCCGTGCTCGTCCTGCCTCCCCTGTCCTGCGCTCCCACCCTATGTTGCTTCGTTCCCCACGCGTCTCGTCCTCCCCTTCTGCCGTCGCCTCCTCTTTCCTCCCTTGTTGTTGCACCCCCCCCGCTGTCTGACTACCTTCGTGCCGCTCGTCCTCTTGTTCCTCGCGTCCTTGCCTCTCTCGTTACCGACCCGTCTGTTCCGGCCTCGTGCCTTGACACCCTTGTTGCTGCTGTCGCTGCCTTCGCCTCTTCCCGCCGCCTTGACTGCGCCTCCGCTCTGGTCTCTGACCCTGCCTGTCCTCCGTCTGTCGGGGGTGCTCCTGCCCTTGGCAGTGACGTCCTGGAGGACCGCCATTTCGAGCTTGCTTTCCTCTCCGAGGCTGCTCCCCATCTCTGTTCCATGCTGCTAGTCCCTGAGGGTGACCCAGACGCTTTTGACATCCCGACCCCTCGCACTTACGCTGAGGCGACCTCGGGACCCTGGGCCTCGCAGTGGATAGCTGCCATGGAGCAGGAGATGGCATCTTGGAGATCCACCGGCACCTTCGTCGACGCAGTTCCCCCGCCTGGGGTGAACGTAGTCGATGGCCGCTGGCTCTTCAAGGTGAAGCGCCCTCCTGGTGAGCCGCCTGTGTTCAAGGCGCGCTACGTGGCTAGAGGCTTCAGTCAGCGCGAGGGGGTGGACTTCTTCCAGACCTTCGCTCCGACCCCGAAGATGACTACTCTTCGGGTTCTATTACACCTAGCTGCTCAGCGTGACTACGAGCTTCACTCCCTCGACTTCTCCACTGCCTTCCTTCAGGGCAGCCTACACGAGCAGGTCTACCTACGTCGCCCTCCGGGCTTTACTGGCACCTTCCCTCCTGGGACCCAGTGGCTCCTGCGGCGCCCCGTCTACGGCCTGCGCTTGGCTCCCCGTGAGTGGCACGACACTCTCCGTGCTACGCTTGCTGACCTGCAGTTCTTTCCGTCTTCCGCAGACCCTTCCCTCTTCGTTCGTGCTGGCCAGACTCCGTTCTACATCCTTGTTTACGTCGACGACCTGGTCTTTGCCACAGCAGACAGGGACGCACTGGCCTCCGTGAAGGCAGAGCTGCTGAAGAGATACACCTGCACTGGCCTTGGAGAACTGCGCCGTTACCTTGGCTTGCAGATCTCCAGGGACAGAGCTGCGCGCACCATCACCCTGAGTCAGTCACACTTGGTGCGCCAGGTCCTTCAGAGGTTCAGCCTTCAGTTCTCCTCTGCACAGCCCACCCCTCTGCCTGTAGACCACAGGCTCTCCGCTCCAGTGTCTGAGGAGTTGGTAGAGCCCAGCGGCCCCTACGCAGAGCTGGTGGGTTGCCTCATGTACCTGATGACTTGCACTCGCCCAGATCTCGCATACCCTCTCAGCATCCTGGCTCGCTTTGTGGCCACAGGCAGACACCGACCGCAGCACTGGTCTGCCGCTAAGAGGGTTCTGCGTTATCTTGCTAGTACATCAGGCATGGGGTTAGTGCTAGGAGGACACACAGACGCTTCGTGGGCAGACGACGCTGAGACACTCAGGTCTACCCAGGGCTACTGCTTCAGCCTTGGCTCAGGTGCCGTCTCGTGGAGAGCTACTCGCTCCTCGTCTGTGGCGCAGTCCAGCTGTGAGGCTGAGATCTACGCTGGTGCCATGGCGGCACAGGAGCTCCGCTGGCTGACCTTCTTGCTCACTGACTTAGGTGAGCGGCCTAGCTCTGCCCCGGTCCTGTTCGCTGACAACCGGGCTATGATCCTCCTGTGTCAGGAGCCTCGACTCGAGGGCAGAGCGAAGCACATTCAGCTGCAGTACTTCCTCCTGCGTGAGCTACAGCAGCGACGTCAGGCTCGCGTAGTACACTTGGCCTCAGGTGCCAACACGGCTGATATCTTTACGAAGGCGCTTGCGCCTAAAGATCATGAGCGGCACTGTGTACAGCTTGGTCTAGTTCCTGTAGCCTCTCACTTGCTAGGACCTTGACTTTGTACTGTCCTTTATATGTATACTCAGACTGGACTTGTGTCCTCTCCTAGTGGCTGGACTAGTAGTGCCGCCCTGCTCTTGTTCTTGCCTTGTCTGTACTCCTTCTGACTGGTCTCTCAGACCCTTGTCTCAGAGGTTGGACTAGTAGTGACGCCCTGAGCTGCTTGTTTAGGACATTCCCCTATGCAGTCTATGGGGTGTGTCAAACATGTGTATTTGTCATGTTTGTATAAACTGTATAGAGTAGCCTCTTAGAGGGTACAACACTTAGGTATATCTGTGTGTACCCCCTCTCTAACATCATTCACTTATTCAATTTTGATACTCATGGTAAACTTTTTTTTCCATTCGACTGCTCAGGGTGCTTTTTTTGAAACGACAGCCCTGATCTGGGTATACGGTAATAGAATCTGTATTCTACACAACTGAACCCACCCTGAACCAACTATTTTACACTATATTCTACATTATACGGCGTAATCTTGCATGTTGCCGGCCGGGCTACCACATCCTGGTGCAGGCCTTGATGCACACTGGCCAGTCCAGAGCCATCCATGCCCGAGCAGATGGTGCTGCTGCAAGAAGCAGGAGGCGCACAACACACCCATGCCCATCCCTTGTGCACCTTGCAGGTTGATCCCATCAGCACTATGTGTGCAGGCATGCATGTACCCATCCATGCCCACACCCATGGCTGCGCTGCAAGCTGCTGTGGCCCATGTTGGGCTGAGAAAAGCCCTTAGGATCTTTTGCAGAGACTAAGTCCCAGCTGTAGAGACTTGAGACTTGGAGTAGTGCAGCGGAAGTTGAGGCAGTTGAACCCTTGTACTAGTATGTGAGAACAAGTGATTGATTAAAGAAACAAGCATACAGCAATATATAGAAGATAAGAAAGCAGTTGCAGAGTACAGTTACAGGAACGGTTTATCGAGTCGCATAGCGACTCGATTGCCGCTTCGGTTACCATCCGTGATGCTGTAACGGTCAGTCGCAACCTCCAGTTGCGACCCTTTGAGTCCCAGACCCTTCGTGTTCTTTGTCCGCCCCCTGTGTAACCTCCGTTGACTCGCGTACCCCTTGCAATCTTCCTCGAGTGTAGTGTTACACTTCAGAAACGCTTAAGTCTTTTGATGTACTTTCAACACTCCCCTTCGTTTCTGGAGTGCTGACTTGTTCAGGTCCGATGACGTTTGTTTGTCCGGTCAGCACCATGCAGTAGTCGAATTTTGCCTTCGCCAATTTCTTCGTCAAATAGTCTGCGGCCATTTCTGTCGTCGGGCAGTAACTGAGTTGAAGTCTCCCCTTCGCGATTTCATCCTTGACGAAGAAGTACCGCAGGGCGATGTGCTTGGTTCGGTTGGCGAAGCCGTCCTTGTTTGCGATTTTGATCGCAGATTGGTTGTCGCAGAAGAGTGAGAAGGCGGGCAGGGTCGCGATCTTCGCTTCCTCGAGTAACTCTCGCAGGTAGAGTCCTTCCTTGGTCGCGGTACAAAGGGCGATGTACTCTGCTTCAGCAGAGGATAGTGCGATTAACTCCTGCTTGCTCGACTGCCAGGAGATAGTTCCGACGGGTTCTAGTCGGTAGATGTAGCCCGTCCTAGATCGTCGATTTTCCCTATCTCCCGCGTGGTCGGCGTCGACGTATCCGAGTAGTTGTACGGACGATGTTGTAGCTTTGCTGTAGGTAAGTCCGATCGTCGGCGTGGAGATGAAGTAGAGTAGTGCCCGGTTGAGCTCCTCGAGATCCTCCTGTTCCGGTTGCTTCAGATGCGTCGCCAGTTGACTTGCACTATAGGACAGGTCGGGTCGGCAGGTTACTGCTGCAAATAGTAGGCAGCCGAGCTTCTGTTGGTACTCCTGGATTTGCTTCGCGGGGAGTTTTGCGGAGGCGCTGTTGTTGTTTCCGTAGCGGTAGGGAGTTGAGGCGGTAGCCGGTGTTAGTCCGAATTTCTTCGCGACAGTACCTGCGTACTTTCCAGCGTGTAGGTAGAACGCCGAGTTGTCTTCGACGATATTTAGCCCCAAGTACTGGGTTACTGAGTCGGACACTGTGAGCGTCAGGTCCCCTTTCAGCTCCCCTTCGAACCGGGTGACGATGTCGGTGGTAGAACCGATGTAGAGCAGGTCGTCGACGTAGACGATGAGCAGAATGTAATCTCTTCCCTTCTGCAGTCGGTACATGCCTTGGTCATGTGGTAGCTGTAGGAAGCCGATTTTTACGAGACGGCTGTGAAGATGCTGCTGCCAGAGCCGCGGGGCTTGCTTGATCCCGTATAGGGATTTTGTCAGTCGGCATATTTTCGTGGGGTCGTCGATGAATCCGTGGGGTTGTTCGACGAAGATCTCAGCGTCCACAGGTGCGTATAGGAACGCATTCGCGACATCGATTTGGCGTAGTGGCAGTTTTTCGTGGCCGCGACGGCGAGTAGGATGCGTAATGAGGTGTGACGGGAGACTGGAGCGAAGGTTTCTGTGTAGTCGGTTCCGTATCGTTGATCGAAGCCTCGTACGACCCATCGAGCTTTGAATCGTTCGACGGAACCGTCTGAGTTGGTCTTGATGCGGTACACCCATTTCCCCGAGAGAACGTTTTTCCGTTGATGCTCGTTGCAGGTACCAGTTTCCACGTTTCTCGGTCTTGCAGAGCTTTTAACTCCTTTTCCATTGCTTCCTTCCATCTTGCCTTATGTTCCCCCCCAGAGCCTGCGACAACGTTGAAGGCTCTCGCGGAGAAGGCGGCGGCGGATTCTGGACGGAGACCCAGAGGCCTAGAATCTGGAGTCCCGTGGGCGTGTGTCGAGGGGAATTTTCATTCCCGGAATAAGCTGCTTCGTCACCGTCTTCGGGGTCAGGTAAGAAATTGGGGCCGATGCGTTCCGAAATATTCGTGTCGACGGGGTGAGGTGTAGCGTAACCTTGGTCGGCGAAGTGGTAAAAGGTGTCGAGGTTGTTGCTATCGAGGGGATTATCTTCATCGAGTGGAACAGGTGCGGAACAGAATGGGAGTGGTCCGGCAGCTTCCGAGGCTCCAGGTACGTCTTCTTCTGCTGCGTCAGCCTCGGCAGTGTGGTCAGCGAAGGAGCGAAGGCCCGCGAAGCCGTCGGTGGGGTCTTGTGTGTTGGCAAGGTTGTCCAGGTAATGCTGCAGCGTCAGTCGTTCGTAGAAGATAACATCGCGTGATGCCACCGTGTTTTTGTCTTGTATGTCGAGAATTTTCCACGCGTGAAAATGTTTTGCGATGCCGAGGTGTAGTCCCCATCGAGCTCTTTGTGAGAAGCGTCCTGCTCGGGCTGTGTGGGGTCTGTACTGTACCATGCAGCCGAAAACGCGGAGTAATTTTGTGCTGCCCCTTTTTCTTGTCCACAACAGGTGCGGGATGCGTTGTTGGGAAGTGATGACGAGGACAGCAGGTTGTGCAGGTGAACAGCATGTGTCATCGCGTCTGGCCACAGTGTGGTTGGCAGTCGCATCCCCTGAAGCAGTTTTCGCATCGTCGTCTGCAAGGTCCGGTTCATGCGTTCTGCTACCCCCTGCTGCTGGTGAGCATAGGGCAGGGACACCAGGCGTCTGATTCCCCTTTCCGCCAGATAGGTCCTGAAGCGTTGTGACTGGTATTCCAGTGCACCGTCTGACTGGAAACTCTTGAGTTTGAGTCCTGACTCTCGTTCGGCGATGGGAAGCCATGTGGTGAAGGCTCGAAGGCTTGGTCGCGCGTTTTGAGATTGAAGTGCCAGACGTATCTGGTTGCGGCGTCGATGAACGTGATGACGTAGTTGAAGTCGGCTTCTGGTGTCGTCTCGAGGCATGTTTAAAATATCGCTGTAGACTTTTTCCATCGGAGCGTAAGTAGGTGCGCTTGGATTGTGATGGGCTGGAAAAGGTTGATGAGGAAGATCTGCTTCGGGGCATGTGAAGCACCGTGCGCGTGGTCGTCGAAGTTCTTGACCGCTCGTCGTCAGAAGGGCGTTGCGTTCTAACACCTCTGCTTGGATTGTTTGAAGTATTGTGCTGTTTGCAGGGTGTCCGAGGCGTTGGTGCCAGATGTCGTCGGGAGCACGGTGACCGGGCGAGCGGTGGTAGATGTCGGCGTTGGATAAGAACGCGACGACTGAGGCGGGACTTCGACAAGCTTCTCGTGTGGCGGGCATAAGTTGGTCTGCTTCCGTTGGCGTCCTCGTGTTGATGGTGGTGGTACTCGGCTGGGTCCTGCTGCCGATACTGCAGGTGATGGTTTTGTTGGGACACTTGCGGGTACTTGTCTTTCTTGTCTGATAACTGCTAATGCTCGTGTTCTCTCTGCTGCAGGTATGGTGTTGGAGTGCCAGAAGCCGTCACTGTCGAAGTCGGGATCAAGATCCGGCGGATGAGTCCAGGCGGCGAACGATACGATGCCATCGCTGTCGGCAGTTCCGCGGTCGGGGACGAAGTCCAACACGAAGACACCGGACTTCAGGAGGGCACGACCGATGAAGAGACCGCCCTTCCCGTGGTAAAGTCGGAACTCGTTGGAGAAGGAGTCGCACTCCAGGTGAATCCCCTTAGCCATTAGTTGGCTTACGCTTAATAGGTTGTATCCCAGATTGTCGACGATGAGGACCTTGTTGAGCTGCAGTATTACGTTTGTTTCCATGGATTGTAACTGAACCACGCCTTGTCTGTTTGTCTTCAGGTTTTCGTTGTTGGCGACTGTGATGACGACGTCGCGGTTGAGTCGTTTCTCCTGTTGCACGAAGCGTCCCGAGGAGCACATGTGTTGACCGCAGCAGCTGTCCAAGAACCAGGTGTTTCGCCCGGTGGGTTCGGCGTTGGCGACTGCAGCGTATGTCGGGTTAACCTGAAGTCCTTGCGAGCGCGGTGGCGGGAATTCCTCTTCGTCTGGTGCGTAAGTGGGTGGTGAACCGGGTGCGCAGTTGTCGATGTGTACCATGCAGTTGATGATGTTGGGTGTTTGTTGTGCAGATGTTGAAGAGCGCCTTGGAGGACTTGCTTGAGTGGAAGCGACTTGTGGGTCTGCTGCACGGTAAACGCGAGGGCGGTTGCAGTTGACCTTGGAGTGCCCGGAAGTCTGACAGTTGTGGCAGAACGGCGGCACGATGGTGAGTCCTCGGTTGTCACGTTGATCTTGCTTGCTGCGTCGGTTGTAGTTGTTGTCATTTCTTCTTTGAGTGTAGAAGACTAACTGCTGTTGCTTCCTTGGTTGTCTTTCCTCGAACAGATCCATCTCCTGTTGTTCAGCGTGAAGCTCGGCGCAGAGGTGCATCTCCGAAATTCTTCCGTGGGCTCGAAGAAGTGATCGTGTGGTTCTCCATTCTGGCCCGAGCCCGGCGAGGACAAGTGTCACGAAGCTTTCTTCAGTGATCGTTCCTCCGCACCGAAGCAGGCGGTCGCGGAGGGTCTGGCAGCGACTCATATACTGCATCGCCTTTTCCCCGGTCTTCATCTGTATTGTTGTCAGCTGTTGCATGAGTCTGCTTTGTGTCACGCTGTCGTTTGCTTGATAGAGGCACTTGAGATGATGCCATGCGAGTTCCGCGGAGTTTCCATAACTTCGATACGTTCTGATGCTCTGCTGCTCTTGTGGTGACAGGTTTCTCAGGAGTACCGTATACGCCAGCAGCGACTGATACGTGAAGATTTCTTGTTCCTTCCCAGTGCCGTTGCTTGGGAATGGCAGGGACCCGTTGAAGTATCCCAGAAGATGCGCGGCCTCCATCAGCAGCTCGAACTCGAAGCTCCAGGTAAAGAAGTCGTGTCCGTTGAACGGTGAGGATGTCTGAAGTTTGATCACGTGTGAGAACTGCGCCTGTAAACTTAAGATTTCATTCGGTGTTTGTTGTGAAGCAGCTGCTGTTGGCTGGGCACGGGGCGGCATGAATTCGAACGTCCCCGGCGAAGAATGATAAGGCGCAAAGGTAGGCGCTTGATTGTGTCGCCCGAAGGATGAGTTGTCGAGGCTCATCGGCGCTAATCCCATATTCCCTCCATTGCTCTGTGTTGAGTGCGCAGGTGTCCTTGTCTGCTGCTGCTGATCGAAGTGTGACATGAAGCTGAAGAATCTCTCCATGAGATTCGGGTCCACACTTGAAGAGGGAGACGGGGTCACCATCTCTGGTACTCTTCCCGTTGTTTCTTGAGCAGTCCCGGTCTCTGTCTGCAGTCCTGAGGTGTGCAGACCAGAGTTGCCGTGTTGAGTTTCTTGGGCGCTGGGTGAGCCCGTAGAGACTTTCTTGCCCTTGTTGTCCATGTCTTGTAATCAATGAAGTCGTTGAATTGAGTTGAGTTGCAGGTTGTTGATAGGACGTAGTTGCTGGGAGTTTGGTCTCTGACCAGCTCTCATACCATGTTGGGCTGAAAAAGCCCTTAGGATCTTTTGCAGAGACTAAGTCCCAGCTGTAGAGACTTGAGACTTGGAGTAGTGCAGCGGAAGTTGAGGCAGTTGAACCCTTGTACTAGTATGTGAGAACAAGTGATTGATTAAAGAAACAAGCATACAGCAATATATAGAAGATAAGAAAGCAGTTGCAGAGTACAGTTACAGGAACGGTTTATCGAGTCGCATAGCGACTCGATTGCCGCTTCGGTTACCATCCGTGATGCTGTAACGGTCAGTCGCAACCTCCAGTTGCGACCCTTTGAGTCCCAGACCCTTCGTGTTCTTTGTCCGCCCCCTCGTGTAACCTCCGTTGACTCGCGTACCCCTTGCAATCTTCCTCGAGTGTAGTGTTACACTTCAGAAACGCTTAAGTCTTTTGATGTACTTTCAACAGAGTCGCTATGCGACTCGATAAACCGTTCCTGTAACTGTACTCTGCAACTGCTTTCTTATCTTCTATATATTGCTGTATGCTTGTTTCTTTAATCAATCACTTGTTCTCACATACTAGTACAAGGGTTCAACTGTCTCAACTTCCGCTGCACTACTCCAAGTCTCAAGTCTCTACAAGCTGGGACTTAGTCTCTGCAAAAGATCCTAAGGGCTTTTCTCAGCCCAACACCCTCTAAGAACACAAACCTAGTCTATAACTTCTGCATATAAACACATGTATAAGTTGACATTCCTGTCCCTGAAATCTCTCGAATCTCGATTCTTCCCCAACCTCGATCCGCCCGTGTCCTGATTTCGCCCAGCACGAGCAAATTCATGTTTTTCTCACCAATCAAAATTTGAGTCCACACGTTTCGTTCTAACGCGCCCCATTCGCCTAATGACCCTCGGGCATTCATAAATTGAACTCGGACGTTTTTGTTTCCCCCTGACGCACATGACTTTACCGCAGTTAAACTGGACTGTGACGATAAGAAACTAGACAAGGTTTCATATGAATTTTCAGAAATCAGTATTCATTTCGTCTGGGAAATAAGGAAAATAAATCTACACATTAGAAAGTGGAAAAGGCCTAGTTAGGACCCTGGTGTACGTCCCCATTTTATTTCGTAGAGCACTGCGGCAGAACGAATAAACGAATTCAGGTAATTGCGAAAATTCTCACTGAGTGCCAGCAAGAACCGCAAGTTGCGCCCTCTGGCACTTCGCGCCAGCAAGATTCGCGTCAGGAGCGCCTGTTTCCAGGCTGGCACATTGCCAACAGGACCTTTCAGCGCGATTGACCTGGAAATTTCCGTAAAAAACTTCCCCGTTGCATGAAACAAATCAAAAGCTGCAACATGATGTAAAATAAACAATGTGCATATATTCTCCTTTAAACGCCCATGGGCGTATAAATTTTATTCGAACTGCAGCGATTTCAAACCAGTCTGCTAAATGCCCCTAGGGGTGCTTTCCGGGGGTATACAGTACTATCACCCTGTGCTGTTTGTCTCTTGCAAGGCGCTACCCCTTAGGGAGTACAAGCCATAACTCATATACCCTGTATGCCCTGGCTTAGTTCACTTCGCTACTCTGAGAAGTTGGCCAGTGGATAGTGTTTGGCTGAGATTAGCCCTAGATCTTTTCAACACGTAGGAGTAGAAACTGGCTGCATTCAGGGAAACAGTACACATTAAAACCCCAAGGGACGGCGGAACAGGAGTATAGCCAACAACATTTACCACGCAAAATTGATGTACACATGTAGGGGGGTTATTCTAAACTCTGTACAGCAACTAGCGAACTTCGCCGTCTGGCGACTATGCAGATGACCGGAAACTCCGATCCATAGGGAACTCCTCAGACGACCACCACGCACGCTCGTCCATCGAGGCGCGCGGAATCGACCGGAAGCGCGTTTCCGAAGCGCTGTCGCTGTGCGCTGCGACCGTGGAGCGGAGGGACGAGCCGGAAGAGAGGATAGCGGCCTCGGGAACCCAGTTTCCTGACACGGGGTCGGGCTTCCAGAGAGTCACCCCCGCGAACGGATAGCGCACTTCTGTCGCGACGGGAGGCGATGACGATGCGAACGAAGTGGACGATGTGACCTCCGTGTGGAAAGCCCTCTCCAGAGCAACGGGGGTGGAGTGATATCTGCGTGACGAAAACGCACACATTGGAGATGAGCGATTGAGGAATGGTGCAAGCAAGACGGGTACTAGCGCTTGGGATGAGAGTAGCGGAGCGAGGGAATGGCAAGGGTAAGACAGCGACAGGGGAAATAGGTACGGCGTCGCACTCGTACACACGTACAGTCAAAAATTACCATGAATCAACAGCAATTCATCCAACGTACCTTCTGATGAGCTTCTCGAGCATTCGCGGGCAAAGATCCGCAGCCTTCTTGGCGGCCGTCGCCAGCAACGGTGCGGATGACGTGGTGGCCATCGTGAATTTGATCCAACGGTTACGCGGCGAACTTGTCGAAGAAAAACGCTTGTCGATACACGAGAACTGCAGCGAACTCTAGACGGGGAGTCCAGAAACCGGTGCAGCAGAGTCAGCCCCAAAGCCGCGAGTTGTGGAGACTTGAGTGAATCGGAAAGTGATGAAAAACGGTGGACAATGGAGGCGAAACGACGGCGTAGAATGGAGGTCGGATCTTGGGAGAGAGACGCTGTGGGTTTGATGGAGTCACGCAGGCGAGGTAGCGGCAACGTGGCAGGAAGTGGAGCGTTTGCTGTTGGATGAGGCGAGATATGAGTGCTGGGCTAGTTATAATACTTTCTGGTTCAGGCGAACACAGTTGCGGAAGATGCTGCTCCGATCAACGACTCGACCAAGCCTTGGGCAGGGAAATGCAGAAGTCGCGGAAGATGCGGGTGAGGGGATTGGCGGGAGGGGGATGGCGCAGCGCCACTGCCCTGTCCTCCCGCGGTGGGGAGGGGAGTGGCGGAACCGGCAAGCAGCTCGCGAATGGATACACTTAGACCACGGTAATCTGACACCCTGAAACTAGGCGGCAGCAGAATTGTAGAATTGTTTTTTCTACCCTGACTATTTCTGATTGCGTAGACAGTACTCACTTGTTCCTACGGCCTAAGCGCGGCAGACTCCACGCGGGCAAGAACTTCGAGCACTGCCTAAGACAACGTCGGGTTTCCTGACTCGAGAAACACTAAATTGAGAAGTAAACGTTTCGTATAGAAACCCAAGCGAAATTTGTTTTTCAAGACTATCCGGATCTGGTCTTCAAGAGCTGCTTTCGGGGGGTGAATACCCTCTCGGCGGCACTCCCTGTGAAACTACTGAGGAAGAAATTAACGCAGGCTAGGTGTACTACACACCTCGGGATTTCTGGATTTCCACAAGTTCCCCAATTCCCGCGCAATCAGTGCCGCAGGCTCGGAGATTCCTCCGATATTCCTTTCCCCACCAGTCGCGATGGCGACGCGAAACATTTTGCCTCGACGGGCCTCCCTCCCTCCCCTCACTTGCATTCGCGACTCGGTGCTGGCTTTGATAGGGCGTGGGCCAACTCCAGCAACGAAGGGTGTTGGGTGTGTCACTCGTGCGTGATACTTGCATGTTGTCCACCTTGGGATGATGAGAGGATGACGTGTTTGGCGCCACGTCTGCTTATCCACCTTGCTGACGATGATGGGCATGGGCTGGGCCTAGAGGTGGATTATGGCGATGCAGTGGTCCCAGCACCTGGCCACGTCAGGGGCACGGAAGTGTCCAGCCGAGCAATACCAACTCGATTGCTTGGAACCCGAGTGTGGCTGTAAATGTAGTGAGACGAATACACTGCGGGCCCATCACCTGATTAAAGCCATCTACTAACACCTCGAACCCCAACTCAAGTTTGAGTCCGATCTTGACCTAAAGAAGGGGCTTGATATGATATGAATGAAGAATTGTGGTCGCCATGATCAGTATGTACATATGCACAGCAAGACCTACATAGACTAATGAGCACACTCGAACACCAACACACTTCACAAGCATCATCTATCCTACTCACAACAAGACAACCCATTCTCACACTTGAATATCCTCCACATGACAAGCGGCCATACCAAGGCACAACATAGTCACAGAAGCCACGCTTGCATGCACCCAAACCCGCATATTTCAAGCTCTTCAGAACCTGCTTGTGTCACCTACTCCGAAGTCCCAATACCATAACCAGCCATCCATACATAGAACCAACACCATGTCTCTCGTCCCATCTAGTCTCGCCATGTTCCCCCTTCCCCCCTCCCACCCGCCACCCTTCTTCCCCCCTCGCACCCCCTTATCACCCCCCCATACATCCCGTAACCCCACTCCCCCTCCCCGTCACACGTCATCCTCCAGGGAACGTTTTTTTGCCCCCAGGTGCTGCTGCAGGCGGTCAGGCTGAGGGGGGACTACGCCACTGCGGAACAACACGGCCAGGGCCTTGGACGACTGGCACACCTTGAACAGCTGAGGGGGGGAAAGGGATAGAAGGGACAAGGGAAGGATAGGAGGAGGTTTGGGGGGTAAAGCACTTCATTATGGAAAGATGAGAGTGCCCAACCTGCTGCTATACAGCCCACCTAATGCCCTCTACGGTCACAGACTACCTCAGTAAGGTGCGACTCACGCACTCACTCCATACAGCGCAGCCCATACACTGCCTCCTTGTAAAGCGACCCACACACTCCCTCGGTATAGTGTGACTCACGTCCTTGGCTTTGAATTGCGCGACGCCAAGGCAGTTGTGGCCCTGGCCCTCCAAGACGCTGCAGTACTGTGCTGCCTGCTGCTCGTCCTCAAACACCTGATGCATGCACGCACGCACGATATTCACAAGGCAACGTGTGTTATGGCACTGCTGCGACTGCTGCGACTGCTGCTGTGATGCATGCATGCCTGCTTGGCTAGGCTCGGGTGCGAAGAGGCATGGGAGAAGAAAGGAGAGATGGGATAAGAGGCTGAAAGGGAGGGATGGGAGCGAGAGAAGGGATGGAGCAGGAAAGGCAAGAGCCATACCAGTACACCCTCCCTCACGTCCTCCACTTTCATTGCGAAGCGTGAGCGCGTGGGTGAAGCAGTGCGGCTGCTGCTGCTGCTGCCACCACCACGGCTACCACTACGACCACTGCTGCCTCCAGTGCCACCACCAGTGTTGCCACTGCTGCTACCGCTCTTGCCAGTGGCACCGGTTGAAACGCCTCCCTTCTTGGCCCTCTTCTCCCCAAATAGCTTATCCAGCTCGCTTTCCACCTCGCTGATAGAAGGGGGATGGGAGCAATGAGAGAGGCGCAATCGCCACGCAGAGACAGGAGAGGAGAGGAGGGGAGGGGGGGATGGGGAGAGGAGGGTGCGGAGGAATGAGGCTGGGAGAGACGGGATGGAGGGGCGCGAGGGACATGTGTGAGCGAGAGTAGACGAAGCCACAAAGAGGGAGTGACAGCAAGGTTCTCAATTATGTGAAAAACAAACGGCGTCGCATGTGTACTGTAGGTCGACTGTCATGTGTAACCCTTTAAGACGGCAATTAGACTTGAAAGGCTCAATGTGTGAAGTCGACTCCTGATTAACACCCACCCCCCCTCTCCCCTCTCCCCCCCCCCTCTCTTCCTTTCCCCTTCCCCTCGACCCCATCCTCCCCCCAATTCTTCCCCCCTCCCCTGACCCCCTTCACCCGTACGTCCTGACCTGCGTGGAGATTCGCGGGCGCGTGGTCTAAAGCTGGCCTACCCCCTCCCCTCCTCCCCGCCCACCCCTGCCCTTTCCCCACTTTCTCCTGCGCGCCCGTACCCACCTGCGCGGAGTGCGCGTGCGCATGGTGTAGAGCTGCGTGTCACCCTGCGCCAGCACGAACAGCGGCTTCGCAGGGTCGCGCCAGGGGTTCGAGTCCACCACTGCGCGCGGCAGGGGGAAGGCGGAGGGAGGAGGGCGGAGGGGGGGGGGGGGTGGGGGGGAGAGAGAACGGAGGGGGGGAGGTTGGACTGGCAAGGGGGGAACGCGACCAGAAACGGAAGGGGGAGTGGGAGCGGAGAGAGGGGGAACAAGGCCGGTGCAGGGTAGACTTAGGTCAACCTGGGGGAGGAAGGGGGAAAGGAGGGTACTATGGCGGAAGACAGACAGGGGTGAAAGGCCGCAAGGAGTGTACTATGGGAGGAGAGGCTGCAAGGCCGTACGGAGGGGTAGCTCTCGCCTCAGGAACTTCTAGTCCCTCAATGGTGCTCCCTGGTAATCCACGGTGCTCCATGGTGCTCCATGGTACTCCATGGGGTACTCTATGGTAATCCATGGCGCTGCATGGTGCTCCATGGCGCTCCACGGTGCTGCATGTTGCTCCATGGTGCTCCACGGCGCTGCATGGTGCTGCATGGTGCTGCATGGTGTTCCCGGGCAGGGCCATACCATCGTAGGAGGTGGAGTCCATGGTGCTTTCGAGCCGTCGCCGCATCTCGTACGCGCGGCTGGACACCTTATCCAGGAACTCGTTCGCCGTCTCCGGAATGCTCGAGTCCAGCCCCAGCGCGCGCAGCAGCTCCTCCTGCCGCTCCCGCTCCGCCTCATCCATCTCCTCCGCCTCCCCTTCCCCCTCCCCGTTCTTCACCGCATCCCGCTCCCCCTCCTCCTCCCTTTCCCCCGACGCCCACTCACTGCTCCCCCCCGCGCCCCCCCGGCTCCCCCCGCTGCTACTTCCCCCGTTGCCGCTCTCCCCGTCACGGAAACTGCCGCCGTCAGATGCGGAAGCGCGGACGGCAAGCGCGGAGAGCGGCCGGCGGGAAGTGATTGGTCCGCGAGCGGGGCGGAGCGCGCGGGAAGAGGAAGCAAAGCTCGACGAGAGGCAAAGGAGCGGAGTGGGGGAAGAGGGCGAGAGGGGAAGGGAGGTAAGAGGGGAAAGCGGCCGTAACAGCACGTCTGCGCGCGCCGGTTGCGCTGTTGACGCCGTGGCGTGCGGAAAGAGCGGCTTGCGCTCGTCGGCGAGGGGAAGGGCGGGGGAGAAGCGGGCGGGATGAGGGCGAGCAGCGGCGCAAGAGACGGCGCAAGAGGCGGCGCAGGAGGAGCGGGAGGAGTCGGAGAAAGAGAGGGAAGAGAGGGACCAGGAGCGGGAGGAGCAGCAGGAGGAGAGGGAGGCGCGGGCGACGTGGCGAGAGTTGGTGGTGTCGGGGAGAGAGAGGGGCACGGCGACGTGATTCGCGGTGACGGCGAGCGTACGGAGGCACGACGATGCCATAATTAGAAGCGCGCCGATGAGGTTGACGGAGGAAAGAGACGAGGTGACGAGGTGTGAAAGGGGTGATGAGGCGGAGGGAGGAGATTGTAGGGGCGTTGAGGTTGAAATGAGACGTCCCCGAAGTAGGGAGGAGGATGGGATGGGAGGGGTGCTGGTGAAGGGAGCGCGACAAAATTGATCGAAGCGGCACGATTGCGAATGCAACGGAAGTACGGGTACGCACGGGCGAAGAAAAACGGCGGGATTCAGTGCCTGGATCCGACCACGGGGACTGAATCAACCTAGCTTCGGCGGGTAGTACTCTTCCGGAATTTGGGATTCGACAGGAGTTGTCGCACTGGCGCTGCGAGGCCGCTGACAGCGAGAGGCTCCCTCGAGAGGAAGGAATTTCGATTCAGCAAGGATGGCGAGCCTGGATGACAAGGGAGCGATGAGCAATGCAAGACGAGCTGGAAAACATAAGCCCACTGTTCCACGGGTGGTGGAGACCGTGCAAAGCAAGCCTGAAGTCCAAAGCAAAGAAAGGAAGTCATGGCACTCAGCTGTATTGGCTGAATGGGAACTTCCACCTCCAATGCATGATGAAGCGATGTCGTTAGGATCCGTAACCGATGCGAAACGTTGTTTTGTTCTCGTCCGCCAATCTTAAGTATCATTCTTCAGTTTGGCGAAAACCAGTGGCACAGGGAGGGAGAGGTTGGGCACAGACCTTGCTTCGGTTTGATGGTTCTCAACTGCAGTTCAGGAAGAAGCGGCGAGGCTTGAAAAAAGAAAGCGCGGGCTACTGCTAACCAATGAAAGATGGGCGCTCTCCAGTTCTCTTTGGCTGGAACTTCCACCCAACAACCAATGAGACCGCGGATTCAGCACATGCCTGTTATTCTCCATCAGGATTGGTTCCGATACATGTGGAGATATTGACAAGAAACTGACTTCGACGCACTGGCCGGTAGGGCGATCTTGTACAAAAGACAGCTCGTTTGTGGAAGATACTGATGCAGCATGTAGGATGTGGCACGAGAATCTTGTGAGCTGGAGCCGACGATTCACCGCTCTGTTGTAGCGCGTCAGCAGGGCTTTCGCAAGGTAGCTACCCTAAATGTCGAGAAATTACGAGTTGTTCAAGCCCCGAACCCGGATTTTAACAGGTTGGGATTTTCCGAAACTCTGAATGTTCCGACTGGATTCTCCTTGAAATCCTGATCCATTCCGTCCTCTTTTCATGAATCCTGACGAAATAGTCTCGTAGCATTGAGCTCTCTGATGAGAACTTCCATTCCACTGCGTGGTGGCGAAGATTCTCACGTCACGAATCACAAAAGGTACTTGGACGATTTGAGGACTTAAGCCAATCAGCCTAGTCAAGTTCTCTGCACACATCAGGGGAGAGGACTGACATGACCTTCGGCAGGGTTGCAATGGCGAGAACTCGGAAGGATTCTGGGTGAAAATTCCTTGGGATCCGGAAGATTTTTGGGTACTTATGGACCCCATCTCGGGACCCTCTGAAACTCCCTAGGGCCTAGCGTAAGCCCTGCGCGTCAGTATAGAAACTTAAAGCCCTATTATACATAGGTTGGCTGTTAAAGCCCGACCGGCAGGTTGCAAGCCAGTTCAGTTCAAAATGCATTATCTACAGGAAAGCAATCGCTGCACTGTCTGAGCTGGCCAATGCTATGAAATATAACTCAGAGTATGTCGCAGAATATTATAGGGGAACGTTATTACAATGTGTCCTATCCAAATGAGACCTAGGGCTTATATAGTGTGAGTTGACCATGTTGAATGTCGAGGGTTGGACCAGTCAAGGGCTCAATAGTGCTGAGCGTGAAGGGGTCAAAATGGGTATGGGGCGACTTGGGATCAGGTTGGGGCCGTCGAGTTCGGCGGGGGCTGGTTTGGCGCGTGACTTGAGGGCCGAGCGTGCGGACGCGAACTGTTCGTGAGTACTCACTGTGGCGAGCCCCAGGAAGGAATCGAAATTCCTTGCACTACAGAGGACGGAAAAAACTACAGGTCAGCTAGCATAGCACGAAGCGTGTCGTGCCACTCACGGAGCGCCTGTCGCAAGCCATAGACCGGGCAGCGGAGGAGCCACTGGGTCCCAGGAGGGAAGGTACCGGTGAAGCCCTGCGGTCAGCATATGTCACAGGATCGAATGTGTCGAGGAAAAGTTGCACTATCGATTGATACAAGGCGCTTTTATAATTCCAGAGTACATCAGGTAACCATGTTTATCCTATCCACATGGAAAAGACCCTTCTAGAAAAAGGATCGCCCTGCATATAGCCACGCGAGGCTATTGGTTTTAAGGGATTACGACAGGATTATGCTAGATATAGCGCGCCAGTACATCATGAGCCTGGTCGGTGATATAATCATAATAACAGGATAAACCAAAGGATAATAGAATAGGAGAAACAGGAAACCAAATGAGATGAGAGAAAAAGAGGAATGAAATAGAAAGGAGACATAGAAAGAGAAATTGGTGTAGCGGGGTCGTACTCTCACATTTCCCCCCCTCAAAGCTAGATGGTAGAACTAACACCCTGCTTGAGAAGGTATTCGTGAAGAGGACGACGAGCGTCATCCATCTCAGATTCAGGAACCCAAGTATCCTTAGAAGGATCATAACCCTTCCAACGAATGAGAAGCTCCACTGTGCCATTCCGATGACGGCAGTGTGCGAGCACGGACTCGACCTCGTACTCGGGTTCATCGTGGACGAGGACGGGCGGCGGCGGTGGGGGCTGGCGTCCGGTGAAGACCGTGTTAGGGTCTCGATAGGGCTTCAAAAGTTGGATATGGAAGGCGTTGTGAATCTTCTAGTTAGCTGGCAGGCGTAAGCGGAAGGTAACAGGAGTGACCTGTGCTTCAACAAGAGAGGGCCCGTAGAGGCGAGGTCGCAGATTGGATGGGAGATTACTGATGTTGATATTGCGGGTGTCGAGTAGAACTTGGTCTCCCACGGTGATGGTGTGGTCAGTGCGGTGGCAATCGGCCTGGCGCTTCTGTTGCTGCTGAATATCGAGACGGCGTTTGTGGGTCCGATCCCAAAGCTGATGCATGGTCGTGATGAAGTCGTGTGCGGGTTGAACTGTAGCTGATGCTGTCGGTTTTTGTGGCGTGAGCGGGTGGCGTCCGTAGCCGAGGAAGAACGGCGTCTGCTTAGTAGCGGCGTGAGTGCTGTTGTTGTAGGCAAACTCCAGGACAGGCAGATGCAAGTCGCATTTAGAGATTGCGTCTTTGCATGCTGTGCGGAGAAGTTGCTCTACAATTTGGTTGAGGCGCTCGGTCTGTCCATCTGTCTGCGGATGGTAGGCGGATGACATGGCGAGTTTGGTCCTGAGCAGAGACATTAGTTCCTTCCAGAACTTGCTGGTGAACTTGGGGTCTCGGTCGGAGATGAGTGTGGTTGGAATGCCATGTTGGGAGACAATGTAGCGAACGAATAGTTGTGCTGTTTCTTTGGTGCGTGCTGTCGTGTGCGTCGGGATGAAGTGTCCCATTCTGGAGAATTTGTCGATGACGACGAGGATTGCGTCATGAGCGCTTGTGGTAGTTGGTAATCCGGTTATGAAATCCAGGCTAACCACTTGCCATGGCTGTTCTGAGACAGCAAGAGGCTGTAGTAGTCCTGCTTTTTTCTGCTTGCTGCTCTTCATCCGGTAACATGTAGCACACGAGGTGACGAATTATTGGACGTCGGCTGCCATGTGGGGCCAGTAGTAGTGCTTTGCAATGCTGGTGAGCATTTTGTTGCTACCGAAGTGTCCCGCGTATAGGACATTGTGGTATTCTTCGAGTAGTAACTGGCGCAAAGGAGGGTAATTGGGTACCTAGATTTTCGCTGATCCTTTCCGGTATGCGTTGTCACTGTCCCACACTAGCAGGCAGCGTGTGCAGGCCGACTGAGAGTGTCTGCTTTGTTTTTGTGGCCGAGCTTGTACACGATGTCATAGTGGAAGTGCGTCTCGAGGAAGTCAATCCACCGGATCTGCCGCCTGGAGAGGTTTGGTTGTGTCTTCGAGTATTTCAGGCTGCAGTGGTCGGTGTAGACGGTCGTTTTCCGTCCTTCGAGAAAACATCTCCATGTTTTGAAGGCGATAATAATACCAAGGGCCTCCTTGTTGTGTATCGGGTAGTTTAGTTATGCCCGGTGTAGTTTCTTGCTGATGTAGGCGATTGGTTGCAGTCCATTCCCCTGGTCTTGCATCAAGTCTGCTCCCACTGCGTGGTCGCTAGCATCAGCTTCGATGACGTAGTCACGTTCGGGGTCTGGGAAGATGAGTACGGGTGCGGACGTGAGTGCTTGTTTCAGCTGCTCTACGGCTTCCTGATGTTTTGGTTCCCACTTATAGGACATGTTCTTTTTTAGCAGATTCGTCATTGACGTTGCGATTTTCGCGTACTGTGGCACGAACCTGTTGTAATAGTTCGCGAAGCCTAGGAACTGCTGCAACTCCTTCACGTTCTCATGTGTCTTCCACGTGAGTACGGCTTCGATCTTCTTGGGATCGACGTGAACTCCTTGAGCACTCACCATGTGTCCAAGGAATTGGACTTTCTCGAGGGCGAATTCGCTCTTGGATAACTTGACGTAGAATCGTTCTCGTCAGAGAATGTCGAAGACGCGTCGCAGGTGTTGGACGTGTTGCTGCACGAGTAGATGAGGATGTCGTTCAGGTACACCACCACACATTCGTCCAAGATTGGGCGTAGAATATGGTTCATTTCAACTTGGAACGTTGCCGGTGCGTTGGTGAGTCCGAACGGCATTACCAGATATTGGTACGACCCGTACCGAGTGCGGAAAGCAGTTTTGTGGATGGAATTGTCCGCCATTCGTATATGCTAGTATCCGGACCGCAGATCCAGTTTGGAAAATACCGTGGCTCCCCGAAGCTGGTCAAGCAGGTCATCGATTTGTGGGATTGCGTATTTGTTCTTGATGGTCTGCTTGTTGAGAGCTCGGTAATTGATGCACATGCGCAGGCTTCCGTCTGGTTTTGGTATGAAGAGTACTGGGGCACCGTATGGCGAAGTGGATGGTCGGATGAGTCCCATTTGCGAGGAGATACTCGATCTGCTTCTTCATGTCGGCTAGTTCTGTAGGACTGAGCCGAAATGGTGCTCAGAAGGTCGGCTTCGAACCTGGTTCTTCCACGATCTTGTGTTGGTGCGTTCGGTATGGCGACAGCTCGTTCGAAAGGTCGTCGGGAAGAATGTCTTGGAACTCCTTTAGTAATTCCTTGATTTTTGTGGAGGTTCCAAGGTTTTCCGATCACTGCCTTGTCGCAGACGGTGTGCGATGCTCCACTGTCCACGAGTGCTTGTATGCGTCATCCTTTGCAGATGACTTCGAGCACGAGGGGCGGGCGTTGCTCAGAGTACCCAAAGACAGTTTCCTTAATAGGATCATATATTACATCCCAATATTCCGTACACACAGTTTTCTTGCTATCTGCTCATGGGTTAGTAGCTGGCCAAGGCTGCTTGGAGAAAGTCT